AGTGGATCCAGGTGGTTGAGTATCAGAGTGTTCCATCTCATTTCCCTTTGAGGTTGCTGTAGTTGATCTGGAAGTCTGGTTTTGAGGCTTATTCATGTGTTTTCTCATTTCGACGTGGGGGCAGGGGAGTGCTGTTGGCATCTACATGGCTCACCTCCTCTGAGCTGGGAGAGGTGGGCCAGGGGCCGGGAGAAGCGGTGGGGATGGTGGCCCAAAAGCCCCTTCCTCTGGGCCAAGAGCAGTGGGACAGAGTCTCGGAAGCCCCTACCTCTGGGCAGGAATTCTTTAAATTTGATTAGCTCCGGTACAGTGGTCTGGTGGTCCGGTCTCCTCTGCGTCTTTGTAGTGTGGAACCAGGTGTCTGTACAGAGAAAAAGCCAAAGAAGCGGGGTGGGGGGGTGGGGTCCAGTGGATTGCTGCCTGGGCATGGGCTGATTCGGTGTTTTCCACAGGACTGGCGACCTCGGGACTGCATCCGCAGACCTGCCTGTCTGCAGCAGCCTGATTCGATGTTTTCCACATGAAGTATTCGGTTTTTTATCACAAAAACAAAGAACAGAATAGTTTTTATAGTCTGATAACAATTAGTTGTTTTTATATCTCTTAAAAGATGTTTATTTTATACTAAATTTTGGGTAGTATTTTTCACTGGATATAGAAATTGTAGTTGATCGTGTTTTTTTTTTTTTCCTTTCAAGACTGTAAGTAGGTAATTGTATTGTCTTCTGGTCTCCATTAGAAGCCAACTATTCTGCATCTTATTTTTCACTTTATATGAATGTGTCTTTTATCTCTGTATACTTTCAAACTTTTTTTTTTAACTTTGGTGCTCATCAGTTTGACTATGAAATTCCAAAGTGTAGTTTTCTTTGCTTCTATCCTAATATCTGCTGACTTAGTATTTGTAAACTGAAGCTTTCACCACATTTAGGAAATTTGGGGCCATTATCGTTTACAAACTTCTATTCTGTCCTCTTTCCTCTTTCTTTGTGACAACAAAGAGACACACATCTTTTGAAGTCATCCCACAGGTCATTGAGATTCTGCCCATTTTTATTTTAATCTTTTTTTTCCTCTTCAATTCAAGATGAATAACTAGTTATTTACCTCTGAGTGCAGGAAAACTTTCTTTGGATTAAATTGATTTAAATGAATAATTGATAATTTGAAATAGGGAGTGGTCCAAAGGTGTAGGGCTGAAATCTTATTTTGTTGTTAGGCCTCATCCATTTACTTTTTATTCCTGATATTTAATTTTTCAGGTCTAGAACTTCCACTTGAGTAACATGAGTTATTTTCAGCTTTTGTGAATTTGTCATATGCTGATCTCAGAGATACTTAACTTTAGTGCTACAGAAGTTATTAACTAAAGAGGAATTCTCTAAACATCAAAAGATGAATGAAGCATAAAAAGTGAACACTTCTGCTATAAATATTTTAGAAAAAGCAACTGTAAACACTTGTAATTTTAAAAGTAAACTACAGTGTTGAATATATCAGTTTTATTCTCTGCTTTGATTCTTAATAAAAGTTGACAGTAGTTGTTCCAGAATAAAGAAAAGAGGGAAAGGAAGAAATAAAAATGAACAGGGTGAAATTAGAATGAATTAAAAATATGGAAAATATAGAGAAATTTGATCTCTTTCAAACTCATTAAATTGACATTGGTCTATCAGTGATCCACACCAAAGAAGAAACTACAATTTTCTTAATGTTCCAGGAACTGTATTAAACAGCTATCATATTTTATTTCCTTATATAAAAATAGTGAAAATTTTTTCTTATTGTCACTAACTTATAGGCAAGGAACAGAGGTTCAACAAGAAGGAATGAATAGTAGTTGCTACAACGAATGGAGTCAGCTGAGTAGAGCTTTCCTGGAGCAGGTAAAGTTTGAGTTTCATTGTCAAGTAGAAAAGAAAGTAAGAAAGGTTGAAATTGGGTAATGTTATGACCATGAATCAACAGAAAACTGCCATGTTGTTGTCTCAGTTGTAGATCTGCAGAAATAGTGTCAGGGGCAAATGTCCCTCTGTTTAACTTGTAAAAACCCTAAAAGGATGTTTGATAATGCCATGGGTGATTATGACTAATGGTTGGTAGGGTTCGTGGCCCTTACTTAAATGTAGGACTGTAAATAAAAGCACCCTTTGATACTTGATAGACAGGTATGCAGCATTGCCTCACTGCACAGCTTCCAGGCCAGAGACTTCAAAGTTCCAAAGTTTGTGTATCTTTCTATTGGAATTTTTGTCTGGATCTGAGTAAAATCTTTTTACCTCTTACATATTCAAATTTATCTTTTTTTGATGTTCCAAATAATTTTTATTCACATACATTAGGCCTATTAAATATACATTAGAAATCATCTGAAAATATTAAATACCATTTATTAATTCACTTAAAATAATAAACCATTATTATAGCATATCCTATTACAATAATAAATATGTATTTTATGGAACTTCTTTTAGTAGTGTACAAAAGCAAATAAACAGTCAAAGTGAAATTATTTTACATTTCAACAGATCACTTTAATGGCTGGCTTAATAAAGGCAGCCAGATATATTAGTGCCCTCCTACATTCCATCTATCGGAGTATCATTCATCTCATACCATCAAAAAAACTTCACTATACATTTTTAAGCAACTGTTAAAAACAATAAGAATTATCCTAACAACAGACCTATGGAGCCCTGGATTTTTCTCAAAAATCCCTATGGAGGGCTGGGGATTTAGCTCAGTGGCACCATGCCTGCCTTGCAAGTGCAAGGTCCTGAGTTCAATCCTCAGTACAAAACAAAAAAAATCCCCACAGAGTCATTACACTAAAGTATACTGTAGGAATGCTATTAAAAGGAACATTGACTCTGCGTAAAATAGTTAGCTGTTTTGCAGTAAACAGAGACAGGAAACATGAGTATATTTAGAACCAGTCAGTGCCAGTTGATACCTTGGACTGTCCCTTGTGGCTTACCACCATATTCTCACACTGTCACACTTAACATTGACAAGACTCTCCTCTATTGTCAGAAATAAGGGCATGATTCATTATTTCACTCAAGGATCCACTTCAAGAATCTTTCCTATATGGAGGAACCTGGTTAAATATAAGTTTGAATTATACCATAGCTTATTTTCTGCCTATTGAGGTGATTGAGATTATAGTGCCAGAATTTAGAGTTTTGCAAATTAATTAAATGAACTATAATTTTCCTTAAATTTCTTAACACTCTAAGTATAAAATGAATGCAAATTTTATGAAAGGAACTTGATAGACTCTCCTTAAAAGGAATTCTGCAGCAGAACCTCCATACTACTACTTAATCATTAAAGATGAACTTAATTATTCTTTTTATCATACATGCATATAATTTTGGCCATATGTGTTCCCCCATTATTCTGTGTATCAGTCAGCGTTTACTAAAGAAACAAGTACAAGATATATATTAGAATTTACAAGTTGGCTTACAATAGCCACTTACAGAATCTTATGTGGAAGAGTTTGGAGGGTCTGTCTGCACACTGGAGATGGTAGAATCTATTTGAAGGTCTGGAGCTCACTGCAGTGTCCCATGTGAGACCATATTAGGAGGCTGATGGGTCTTCAATGGAAGGCTGAAGGGTCTGCACTGGAAGCCAGGAGATGATATCTAAGGTGACCTCAAGAACTGGCCCTCTGAAGAAACAGAAGCAGATCCATTCTTCTTCATTTCCCCCTTTGTACTATCTAGGAGACAAGCCACCCTAGGGTGTGGAATTGTTGAACCAATTTAGTTGAGCTTCTCTTACTCAAGTTGACACAATCAATCAACCATCACTGGCTGTGTTGTAGATTAGATCTCAAATGTCTTCCAAAAGTCTCATGTGTTCAGAGCTTGGGCTTTTGAAGGGTAATTTGACCATCTGGGTGCTATTCTCAGTGTGTTAATACATTGATGAGTTCAAAGCTAAATGTGCTATTAAGAGGTGGAGCCTAGTTGGGGGGGGGGTCACTTAGAGTGGTACATGGACAGGTGTATTCTTTCCCCAGCTTCTCTTTTTTCTTGCTCTGCTTCCTGGCTGCCACTGATTGAGTAGCTTTCCTTTGCCATACCCTTTCACCATTTCTGCTTTGGAGCTAGCCAACCATGGACTAAACCCATTTAAATCATGAGCCCAAATAAACCTCTTTAAAATGTAGGTGTTGAGTAATTTATCCCAGTGATAGGATAGTAACTAATGTAGTCTCCTTTACATCCTTCCTTATTCCCTTCCTCTTGTCTAATAATAGTCTCCCTTCTACTTTCTTATCTTTTTTTAGATTCCATATATTTGGGAAAGCATATAACTCTTGTCTTTCTGAATCTGGCTTATTTTACTTAATATAATGATCTCCAGTTCCATTCATTTTCCTGCAAATGACATAATTACATTCTTCTTCATATCTTCACAATGCTCCATTGAGTACCACATGTTTTTGTACATTTATCTGTTGATGGGCACTTAGGTTTTTTCCATATCTTGGCTGGTGTGAATTTGCCAAACTAAACATGGGCATGCAGGTATTCTTATAATATGTTGACTTTAATTCCTTTTAGTATATACCAATGAGTGGTACAGCTGGGTCAGATGGTAATTCTGTTTTTAGGTTTTTGAAGAACCTTCATACTGATTTTCATAGTGGCTTAAATAAATTTACATTCCCACCAGGAGTATAGAAGTGTTCATTTTTACTTGCATCTTTGCCAGCACTGCACTTATTGGTTTTTGAGGTTTTTTTGGTTTTTTTGTTTTGTTTTGTTTTTTTGTACCAGGAATTGAACTCAGGACCTTGAGCCTGCCATGCAGGCACTGTGCTGCTGAGCTATATCCCCAGCCCTGGCACTTACTGGTTTTTGTATTCTTGATGACAGCCATTCCTACTGGGATGAGACAGAATCTCAGTGTATTTTTTATTTGAATTTTCCTAGTGGCTAAATATATTGAACATATTTTATATACTTATTGGCCATTTTGTACCTCTATTCAATTTATTAGTCCATTTATTGATTGGGCTATTTGAACTTTGGTAAAGTTTTTTATATATTCTAGATATTAATCCTGTGTCTGAAGAGTAGCTGACAAATGTTTTCTCCCATTGTGTAGGCTGTCTCTTCCATCTGTTGGTGATTTCTTTTGCTATGCAGAAACTTTCTGTCTGATGTACTTGCATTTGTTGGTTCTTGCTATTATTTCTTGTGCTGATGGGAGTTCTATTTAGGGTCTTTGTCCTATGGCTTCAAGGTTTATCTTATTTTTTTTCCTACCAGTTTCAAAATTTCTGGTGTTATGCCTAAGTATTTGATTCATCTTTAAATGATTTTTGTACAGGCTGAGCTATCTAAGGATCTATTTTCTATCTTCTATGTATGAGTGTCAAGTTTTCCCACCACCATTTGTTAAAGAGGCTGTCTTCCCCAAAGTATGTTTTTGGCTTCATCAAGAATTAAGATTGTTATAGTTGCATAGCCTTGTTTCTGTGTCCTCTGTTCTATTGGTCTGTGTGTCTCTTTTTGTGCTGGTTCCATGCTCTTTTTGTTACTATGTCTTTGTAGTGTAATTTGATATTGGTTATTGTGATGAATCCAGCCTTGCTCTTTTTGCTGAGGATTGATTTGGTTATACTGGGTCTTATATATTTCCATATGAATTTCAGAATTTTTTGTAGTTCTGTGAAGAATGCTATTGGAAGGATTTTTTTTTTGATGGAGATTGTATTGAATCTGTAAATTGCTTTTGGTAATAGAGCCATTTTGACAGGGACAAGATACAGTTTTCAAAGCCATGCCTCCAGTGACATGCTTAATTCAATAAGGCCCATCTCTGAAGAATCCATTAATGGTTTAATCCACTGATGAAGTAAGACTCCTAATGATGATCTAATACCTTTTCCAAAGCCCACTAATTGGCAACCAGCCTTCAACACAATGAGCCTTTTGGTATATTCCTACCATAAAACCCCACAATAGAAACACCTCTGCTTTCTGTTCATATATCATTTGGAGTTCTTTATAGGATTTTGTTTCTAATAGTAAAATAAGCATAAGAACCATTGGATTGGTTTTCTATCCCAATATCTAACTCAAAACAGTTTGAGATAATACCCAATAAGTGAAATCTTAAGAACTCTAACAGAGGGAAGAGCTTTTTATCTATTTGTATTGTGCCTATTTTCAGCTTGAACATTAAGTCTGCAACTAATATATAAGGTTTCCATGAGAGCAGAATTAGGAACTGCTCCTGGCATAGAAGCCCCTGAAAGGAATCCCTTTCTCATGGAATCACTCATAGCCCTGCTCTTTCTTCTGCAGGTACTACAGGCAAGGCTCATGTAGCTATTTTCCCTGATACAATAATTTTTTTCTTCAGTATTAGAGATTGAAGCCAGGGAGTGCTGAGCTACAACCCTCAGCACTTTTTATAGTAGTAGTATTATTTATTTTGAGACAGGGTCATGTTATGATGCACAGGCTGGCCTCAAATTTGCCATCCTCCTGCCCTCAGGCTCTGGGTTACCTGGGATCACAAGCATGCACCACTTCACCCAGCAGGCACTGCTAACTTGGTGGTCTCCGGACAGTGTTGAATTTTAGGCAGAGACAAGGACTCTAATTCTCTTCTCTAGACTCCTCCCACTCCTGTGGCAGCTCCACCCATTTGGCTTTGGGATGATAAGCAAAACTGACACTTCTTTCAATATCTTTTAATTCAGAAACCGTCAAAGCTGCCATAGTTCCTGGAAATCTATCCCAATATCTACAGTTTCACTAGAAGAGATGGCCATTTCATCCTTTCCTCCTCTGATGGTGCAGAGAGCAGTCCAGTTTTGCTTTGGTGACTGCAGTGTTCATAGAAGTCCTCTTTGGAGGACCTCCTGCTCAAAACCTAGGGAGGATGCCTGCAGGGAACTCAGAAATATATAGCACATATAAAGAATAGGATAAGGTTGCGCCAGAGTGTTTTAATTCAAGCTCTTCTCTTTTTAACCTCTTAAGAAGAAATGAATTTATAAGGTTCAAATTGCTATTAAAATAACTGATGTGAATAATACCAATGTTTTCCGGAGATTTTTCCTGAGATTGGAAAAGGAGCAGCATTATATCTGTGCTTCCTTATCTTCAGCTCCACCTTTTATATTCCATCGTTCACTTTGTTTCCAGCGTGATCTTTCTCAAATATGAACTAAATAATACACCATCTTCTGTTTCTATGTCTTTTGGTGGATTTCTTTAAATTCTGAATAAAATACAAACTCCTTGGCAGAACCATAAAGGCCAGCCCCATGTTGCTCCATTCTTGACTCTGTACCTTTGGTTCCTGCCATTCCATTATTCTGGCTAAAGGTCAAAACAGAGTTTTAGACCTGCTTAGAGTTTTAAACAGAGTGTCAAAAAATTCTCCTTTTTATTTTTAAATAGTCAAGAGTGGTTCTCAGGTCTGCAACAACATCAGTGAACACATTTATTATTTGCAATAATGGAGCTAATACTTATTACCTGGTATTTGTATTTTAAGTAATTCATTTAATCATCACCACTACTCTAAGGCATAGAGAATACTTATAACTTCATAAACTGAGGCACAGGGTTAGATAAGACCAAGTTCACAACTGGCAAAGCCAAGTTTCAAACTGCCAGTTGGGCTCCATGAGCCATGGTCTAACCATGGTCTTATAGAACATCTCTTTTAAAATACAGATTCACCAGCTTCTCCACAACCTAGGGATATGCATTTTTAACAAGATCCCAGGGTGATTTTGCTACTGGGTTGGGGACTAGTGGATGAGTAATGTATACATATGACTGTTACATAATTGTGGTTGACATATCAGATCTTTTTTCATTTGTTTCCTACAGAATCACCAAGATACATGATATACACATTTCAATACTTGTAGCATGATAAATGATTTCAAAGGCACAAGGCTGGTCTTGAGTGCTCTGCTGTGATAACTTAATTCCAGTCAATGACTTCATTAGATAAGACCTTAAATTTATTTTTGTCACAAAAATTTGTAGAAATATGGCCAGATAACTGTCTCTCATTTTCCTCCATTTCTCTTATAATTTTAATTTGAATATTGGAAGCCCACATTTCAACACATGTACTTGTTAAGAATGAATTCTATGCCTCAGTGAACAATAACTGCTAAGTAGCAAACATCATACCCATTCTACAAGAGGCAGATTTTATTCTTCATATCTATGGTGGCTTTATTATATCCTCAATTGTCTTCAGTAGGTTTTGATCAGTTTATTGCTGCAGAAGGGATGTTTTTAGACTTAGGGCCATCATTTTTTCCCTTTTGCCCCTTTTAGATGAAAGTTGGAAGGGAGAGAATTAACTGTTTAGTGTGATGTGTATAAACTCTCTGCTACTCAGGCTATTGTTTATCCTCAGACAGGAAGCCATCCATAATGCTTAAGTTAGGGATAAGTATAAATAAAAGTACCCAGAATAAAGTTACTAAAAGATTGAAGTTTGTTCTTTCTGATAAATTTGTTTAGAGGAAATAGTACAGAGTGCACCAGGCAGGCTTTTCTTTCTCAATCAATATATACATACACATGGTTTTAATGGAACTTTCATATTCTTGGTCACAAAGTGTTTTCTGAAACTTCAAGCATCACATCTTATTAGTGTAGAGAAGAATTAGAGAGAAGGCAAAGGCAAAAAGTAAAGGACAAGAGAGACAGGCCTATGCATTTTTTTGTCCTTTTTATAAACCTTTCTTTAAATATATGAGCGGTATCTATATATCTGTGAGAATCTAATTAAAAAGTTATTTCTGTTAAAGAAAAAAACAATCTCATTAGATATTTAGTCTACATATAAATGTAAGGCAATTCTTTTTATTGGTACATGTTTGCAATACATAATGATCATATTCTTTGTAAGGAATTGGTACATGCACATAACACATCTTAATTCTTTTTTCATCCCCGTCTCCTTCCCTCCCACCTCCTCCCTCTAGGCATGTAATCATTTACCAGCAATCATTTGATGTTTAAAATTTAAATTCTAAAACAAAAGCAAAGGGAAAAATTTTAAAAATTCCTCTTGTTTTTTAATACCAATCTGTATAATCCTCACCAGAATGTCTAAATTGGGCAGAAGCATGCCAACACAAACACATCAATTTAGCACACTTTGTCTGAGTTTCTGTAACCTGAAAGCAACAAAAGTGAGAACTTTTTTGATTATAGATTTTTTACATTTGCCTCTCGAAATTGGGGAATTGATGAAAATAATACAATTTAGTAAAGATAATGGGAATTATAGGGTGTGGATTGTTTTGTTAGAAGGCAGTAAACAACCAAAGGGAAGAAGTTGGGGCATCTTAAAATTCTTTCTAAAAAGTGAAGACTAATTAATATGCCACCAGAAGGGCTAAAATCATGGTATAAATAATAAAAAGGATAAGATTCATAAGGATTCATAAGCAGGCCTAAAATCATAGGATAAATCATAAACTGAGGATAAAATTCATAAGGATTCTAAGAAGCATGTAGAATTTGAAATTGGCATTTATATTTCCTATGCCTATTGAGTTTATATATGCTAGTCAGAATTTTTGGCTTGTAGAGTTGTAGAGAAAATGATGTAATATAGGGCAGAAAATTGAGTTTAAAAATAGATGAGGACTCCTGATTTATACCAAATGTTTTAAACCCATTGTGTACTTTTTGTTTGTTTCCACTAGTTTTGTGATATACTAAATTACTTAGAGAGGAATAAAAATCATTTTTCTATACTGACATTAAGATTTAAATACAAATATCCTGCTTAGGAACAATTGGAACTGACAGGAAGATAATTTCAGCTTATATTAATCATGTTATTAATGCCTTCTCAGAAATTTTCATAATAGATTGAGATAGTGTTGGTTCCACGAACCAGAAGAGGAGAGAAAACCTTTGTGTAGAGACGTAAAGGATTAGGAAGGATAGAAACCTGGACTAGTACATAATTTGCTTAGGACCAGCTTTTGTGACTAGGAAAAAACTTAAAAATGTCTATTGCTGCTTATCTTTTACTCACTTTATGGGTATTTGTAGAATTGCAGCAATATCGAACAGGTGTCTTACAGATAAATGTGTCACGGTGGTTCCTTTATATTAATGAGATTCATTTATCATTGCGAGGTCCAAGCAAACCCCATCACAGGAATCCAGAAAAGGCAAAAACCCTTCCTACAGTGATAATTCTTATCTTTCCTTTGCACTTCTTCTAACTTGGCCTCCTGGTAGGTTACACTATGGCTGCAAACTAATGGTTTTTGAACAAGTATTTGTTTCATTACTCAATCCAGACCTTTGCCTTCTGACTCTTGGCTGCTAGGATTAGGGAAACATGCCCACCCAGCTAACATTATGTACCAGTGTGAGTTGCTGGACACAGCTGTGTGTGGCTGTCCAGCTACTGGGGGAAAAAAAAACTGGGGCACAATGATGAAGGCCTTAAATTACTACCTGCCACTAAAAATTAAAAATGGTCCTGGATATTTGAAAGACAAATTAGCCCATTGTAAAAAATGTTAAGACAATTATTTTTATGTCTAGGCACCATTCCTTTATATTTAGGTACCTGAATATTTATATTTAGCTCCTTTAAATTTAGGAGCTGAAATACCCGCACCCCCACGCCCCGCATATCAACTTGATTAGCTTCTTACCACATTTTCTTAAAGTGGGGGTGAGAGGGTTGGGTTTGGGAAAAAGGGAGACGGGGAAGAGTGGATCAAATGTGGATGTTTGCCTGCCTAATTTATAGGAGTTGTTGCACTTACTAAAGTTTAAACGGAATGGAGCACTAGATAATAGGTTGTGTCTTTATCTTTTTCAAATGCGAAGGGCATCAAGAGATGTGTGTGTGTGGGGGGGGATTAAGATATGTTGTGTACATGTGCCAGCTTCCCAGAAGGAATTTGATCGTTACGTAATGGAAGCATATACTAATAAAAAATAAATACTAGAAAATATTTCCCAATCATACCTGGTCACAATTAAGTAAAATGCACTTCCTATTTTAAATATCATCAAATAGGCAGGTAGAAGGAATGCTTGGGAAGATTATAAGGACAGTGCTACGATGTAGACTTGACCCCAGAAAGTCTTCTCCCAGAGTTCCCTTAGGAGTCTTCTACTACCTTTTCTTTAGAACATCTGGCCAAGGAGTTTTCCAGGCTCTGCTCCCGAGGCTACAAGCTCTAGAAGCTCCAAAGGAGGAGGACCCATGGCAAATGAAGAGTCCATGTATCAGAAAACACGATCGGTATTTTTCGAACCTTCTTTGAAACTGTCAGGCGGACAACGGCGGGGGGGGGGGGGGGGTGGGGCTGGAGGGTGTCTGCCATGTTTCTGCCCCATCGTCAGCCTGGCAGCCTTATTTTTGTTTTTTTGCTATGGTTAAGCAAACTGTAGACCCAAGGCTTTACGTGACAAAACAGCCTCTTTTGTCTCTCTTCGCACACACAGGCAATCTCTCTTCCCCTCCCACCAGCCTTTCTAGGCGTGGTGGATTCTTATCCCAAGGTCCAGGCGCCCTCTGCCAAAGCAAAAAGCGATAGGAGCCGGACTACAACTCCCAGCGTTCACAGCGCCCGTCCGCCGCCCGGCACAAACCGGCTGTAGCTCTGTTCCAGGACAGGTTTCCTCTTCTAGCAAGGATCGGGTCTCCTCTCGGTCTCCGGGAAGCGACTCTGCCCTGGGCTACGGCGCGGGAGCATGGCCCTGCACCTGCACAGGCTGAGCTCTGGCCCCTGGTGCCGCGCGGCACGGCTGGGCTGCGGAAAGCTGCGCGCCTGGTCTGGGCGCTGCGCAGCCGGACGCAGCTGCGGACCTCCTGGCACTGCCCGTACCGAGCACAGTCGCGGGCTGGGGTACGGACCTGCGACCAGAGGCGGCCCCTGGCTGGGCACTGGGCTGGCCGCAGCGATGGCGGGGTTAGCAGGGCTGGCCGTCGCCGCCTTTGGGCACTTGCAGCGGGCAGAGATGGTGCCCAGGAGCTCGGCGGCGCGGAGCCCCTCGCCGGAGAAGGAGGAAGAGGACGAGCTGGCCCGCCGCTGCCGCTGCTTCATGGCCCCTCCTGTGACTGATCTGCGCGAGCTGCGGAAGAGGCCAGGGGACATCAAGACCAAGATGGAGCTCCTGATCCTGGAGACCCAGGCCGAGGTGTGCCAGGCCCTGGCGCAGGTAGACGGGGCCGCTAGCTTCTCTGTGGACCGATGGGAGAGGAAGGAAGGTGAGGAGCAGAGGGAAGCCCAGTGGAAGGTGGAGTTGGGGGATCTGGCTGTAGTCTGCAGGCAGAAAATGGCTCAGAATTGGAGATGGGGGATATCGTGGATACCCACATATGGATTACTTGGTTAGAAGGCACACGGTTAAGAAGACTAACCCAGAGGGATATTGGCCCTCTGCTTGCAGGTGTGCGTTCAGATCTTTTGTCAGGCGAATGCTTGGCATTTCAGAATCTTGGTAATTCCGTAGAAATATTAAATATTTACAGCCCATAAGCTTGTATTCCAAAATTAGTTATTTCTCCCACATTTAATTTGATTGTTTAGGTGCCTTCGTCTTTTTGTCTTCCTTGATAATGGTAAAAGGAACTTATTTCCTCTGTGCTAAGTATCTGCCACCCTCCTCTATCAGAGGGTCTTATTGTGTAACAAATCTCCCCACTTCTCTTTGTTATCACACGAGAAATATTTGATTGGGTTTTCAGTTGCCGAACCAAACGTACCTATCAGATGCCATGTTGGAAATATTTCCTTTCAATGCCGAAATACTTAAATATTAAAACCTAATTCCTATAGAGGCATATAATAGTGACCATGTTGTTGCCTGTACAGTGAAATTTCCCATCTTGATCATAAACTTGAAGGATTCTTGACTTTTGCTAGCTGGGAATACAGCAGCATCTTTTTCCCAACAGATTTTGAACTGTGATACTCTCACATTTGTATTAAATAAAGTTCAGTCTGATTTTTGTAGCGTTTTCCATCTTGTAATATGTACCAGTGAAGGCCATGGACTCAGGTCCTAACCTCAGGTATGAGCCTAGTTGTGTGACTTTTAGAAGTTACTTAATTTTTGTGTGTGTCCGCTTCCCCATTTATAAAGTAAGATGAAACATACTACGTAAAAGTGTGATACCAGATTTAAATAAGATGAATAATGTAAAATACTTAGAGTATTATTAGAAACATGGGTGGCACTTGGAGAAATTGAATCTTTTGCCAACTGTGTGATCTTAACAGATGATGTTTTGTCTTTCTGGACCTGAGTTTTCTTATCTGGAATGTACAGGGATTGTCCTAGATCATCTTATGTCCCATCATACCCTAAAAGCTTTTAGAAAAACAAGCCAAACATGAACCTCCAGAAACAGATCCTGTGATGATCCCAGTGCCTTAAAAAAAAAACCTAGCACTAATGCTTACACATCTAAATACTAATTAAAACAAATTAAAAAAAAAAAACTAGAACTAATGCTTACACAGCTAAATATTAGTGTTGCTCAGTTTAAGGTTCTGGATTCTTTAAGAGTTTGAATTTCTACTTGCCTGTAAACCAAACTAAAAGGCAAACAGCAAACTGAGAAAAAAAAATTTCATACAATATGCAGCTCTTAAATTCAGCGATGAAAGAATATCTTTCATGTGTATGTATTCCTATTTTGAACTTTTAGCTTTCTCTTTCATACCATAATTTTGTGGGTTCCATTGTGAACAGTAGTATTGGAAGGGAGCATAATCTAGTGATTTATTTTAGGTGATTGTGTAAGAATGTAGAAGAAATATTAGGGTAGCAGCAGTGGGAGGTTCAGTAGTTGTCCAATATCAATGCCTTATATCATAAAGATAAGTAGTTGTTTAATTTCTTTGTACATAAAAATTAAAAATACTCTAGAAAATTTGGGAAATAGATAAGGAAAATAACACTTCATTCTATCACTCATGCAAGAATTGTTTTCAGTTTTGCATACTCTTATATTCTCTCCTCATTTTCCATTTCTGTAAATAGGAGGTGGTGGTATCAGCTGTGTACTTCAAGATGGGCGTGTTTTTGAAAAGGCTGGGGTGAGCATTTCTGTTGTTCATGGGAATCTTTCTGAAGAAGCAGCAAAACAGATGAGAAGCAGAGGAAAAGTTCTGAAGACTAAAGATGGTAAATGAGATTTTTTTTTTAATAGTCTTCAATAAGCCCTGCAACCCTTTTTTCCACAAGTTTTATTGATAAAGCCATTTGAATGGATGCATATACCAGATATGCATGTCCAAAATTATTTTCAGAGCTATGTTAGAAGACATCCTTTGCAAATTGATTCAGAAACCACATTAGAGTTATTTGTTTGTATCAAGTCTGGTGATTGAATGCAGCTTTCTCCCTATTTTACGTTCTAGGTAAGTTGCCATTTTCTGCTATGGGTGTGAGCTCTGTAATCCATCCCAAGAATCCTCATACTCCCACTATTCACTTCAACTACCGATACTTTGAAATAGAAGAAGCTGATGGTAAGTGTCTCAAGAGCTACAGAAAGTATTGCTATGCAAAATCTATATTTTGAAAAGGTGAAAACTCAGAATCCTAGAATAAATACTACAGCCTTAACTAGGTTTTTTCAGGAGGCTTTTCTGAGGGCTTATTCCTTGCCAGATTCAATGGCTTATGCAGTAGACCTGAAAAGTGAGAATATATTGACTAACTTTGACCTTCCTCCAGCACAGAAGGAATCCATTAACCTAATGTTCAAAATGTACACAGGGCTCATTATATCTGAAGGAAAGCCTCATATATGAGTTTAAGTTTGAATTGTAAACTTGCTTTTGGAAAATACTTTTTGCATTCTTAGCTTTGCTGATCACCATGACTTTATGCAGTTGATCATGCCTCATGTGCATGTAGTTCCAGCCTGTGTCTTCCATCGGCAGAGCCATCTGTTAACCACTTGTCAGTGCCTCTGCAGTGTCACACCCACTTCTGTTGGTATCTCTGCAGATGATGACATATAAAGTCACTGCTTAATGTTTCATTTTGAGGACATTCAGTTTTGTTCAGCCTCCTAATGGTTAGCAGTTGGTAACCACTTGAGGGTATAGCTCAGTGGTAGAGTATGCACTTAGCATGAAGAAGGTCCTGGGTTTAATTCGCAGCCCCACAAAGAAGTTGATAACTGGTATTGACAACTCATAGACACACAAAATTCTCAACTGATAGGTTCATTTGTGTATAAGCACACAAAATTCTCAACTGATAGGTTCCTCTCTCAGCAAATGTTTTCATCTTTTATGGGCAAGACAGAAGGGTGGCAGTACTTGTATTATAGGGTTTATAAAGTTGTGATCTAGTAGAGGTATTTAAGGTCCTTGTATGATTTCATTGTACATCCCGCTTTGAGGTTCACTGCCTGAATTGCCTATGTGGTGTATTATCCTGCTTATCATTTCTCTGTCTGGTTCTACTCCTCTTTAATTTCTTACTTCCTTTTCTTTACGAATTTATCTCTTCTTCCTGGTCTATGCCTCAGTGGCCTTCAGAGCTAAATTCAGTTAAACTTTTTTTTGATTGTCACCTATTTCGTACTTAGTTAAGCCGCTGTATTAAGTTTGCAAATGTAATTAGTAGTGTCCTGAATGTCAAAGTCCACATTGAATCTGTGTCTTGGTTTGTGTAGGTAACAAACAGTGGTGGTTTGGTGGTGGATGTGACCTCACCCCAACATACCTGAACCAAGAAGATGCTGTCCATTTTCACCAAACTCTAAAGGAGGCTTGTGACCAACATGGTCCAGATCTGTATCCCAAATTTAAAAAATGGTAGGTTTTGGCTGTTTCATAACCACAAAAGGATTTCCCATTGCTTTTATGTATCTTCAAAACAACTACATATTATGTCATTAAGCATCTTTGCCAGCTTATGAATATTGAACTGTTTTCTTATTTTGTTCAACAGGAGATCTGGAATAACAGTTTTAAGTGGCTTAAATAATTTGCTTAGAAATATTTGGACTATTTGGATTCTGTAATATATATTGTGTAGCATCTTCTTTTTTTTGATTCCAGATTTTTAGAATGGTTAAATATAAACCATAAGATGATTAATGCCTGAGAATCAAAGGCTCAATAATCCTAAAGTGGGATGTTAAATTCTCATTCCAGATAAGAGTTACTGTCCTGATGTTGATTTGAGAGAATGTATGAGGGGGATAGGGGTGGTTAATGAATCTTTAGGAGGGATACTGATATTCCAGAGATTTTAGACAAGAACAGTGGTAGTGAAGATTTCTTTTAAGGAAATTCTAATGATAAAGTAAGAAAAGCCAAGAGTTATGAAAAAATACAGGATGTTTGTTAGAAATCAAATGGATTCCTAGAATAAATTGCTTGGAATGAGAGGAAAGAAGCAAGAGCTAATTGACATTCTTTAAAAAAGGAAGAACAGAAGGGTTTTGGTCATTTTGCATCATGTTTAGGGCTAGCAAAGAAAAAAATTAATGTTAAGTATTTCATGAAGCTGTTAACTTCATAATGTTATGAAGAGAAACAATGTGATTTGAATTAAAGGTAAGTTTTCAAGCTGTTCAGGATATACTTTTAAAAATTACATTAATATAATATAAATGAAAGGCAACATGTCACAACTGACATGATTTATACCAAGTCATCAGTTCTAGTTTTTTGGTGCCTTTTTGTCTTTTGCATTTAAGCTTGAGTTTAAGGTGATTTTTTTTTTTAAGAAAAACATTGTTTGTTTGAACAGGTTTTTCTGTTTAGGGATTTTCACCATAGAGATCATTCAAAGAACTATTTCCACATTGTAAACTATGCTACAAGTTTAGCATTTCCTGGAGGGCTTCTTAGGAAGCTTGTTTTGGTAGATACGGAGGGTAAAAGACTCAAGAACCAATTGGTAGTTTCATGAGCTGGCTCATGAGGGTAAGCCTTAATATGTTTCAAGATTTTTTTTCAGAATATTCCCCTTCACCAGCCCTTCTCTCTGTTGCGCATGCTGTCTATTAATCATCATATTTTACTGCTGAGAGATGCATTGGAGTTGTTTGTAGTACGTTCTTTGGTAAATAACGAACTGACTTAAGAGAGCTCAGATTTGAATACTGTTGGTGTCATTCTTAGAAGATGCTGATCCTCCTGCCTCCTACAAAAGCAGCAGTGTTTCTGAGGGAAACAGCTTCACTTATTTCAAGATGTACAGTGAAAACCCTGAACTCTATTGCTCTTTTCGCTAAAGTTCTGAGAGTTCCATATCATTTAAGTAGACTCTTGTGAAATGGCCTAAATTACTTACAGTAAAAATATAAGCATCTTCTACATTTGTTGTGTCTACAGAAAATCTGTCTGAAGTCCCAGTTTCATTTTTATAGCTGGACACAAAGTAAAGGCATTATCCTGGCATTAGTTAAGGAGATTGCTCTGAACTGAAAGGTCCACATGGATTTTCACCTTTTTTATTCCCCTTTGGTCCCTGATTTGAGTCTTCTGCTTTTTCTAGGTGTGATGACTACTTTTTCATAACCCACCGTGGAGAGCGGAGGGGCATCGGTGGTATCTTTTTTGATGACCTTGACTCTCCATCCAAGGAGGAAGTGTTCCGCTTTGTGCAGAGCTGTGCCCAGGCTGTGGTTCCTTCTTATATTCCCCTAGTGAAAAAGCACTGTGAGGACTCATTCACAGCCCAGGAGAAGCTGTGGCAGCAGCTCAGAAGAGGACGGTGGGTGACAGGAGAACAAATTGTCTCTTGGCCTAACTGGGGGAAGTAGAGCAGTTGTGCTAATGGTGTTGTGCTATCTTGGATAGATGCATTATAGTAATCATGTTCATTTGTACCCTACTTTTATTTTATAGCTGGATGAATATTAAAAAAATTTAAACTTTGTATAGAATACTATTCCAAAAAAAAAAGTTTAGTCAGTTCATCAATTAGGTACAAACTCAATTGCTTGCTGAGTTCAGTTCAGCTCATTTCTTTTAGTTAATCTTCAGGCTCTGTCCTGTACTTAATGCTAAGGTGTGGGTATCATTTAATTTTCTTTGTGATTTGTAAATTTCTGAATTGTACTTTTTAAAGATTTCATAAAAGTATTTTAATAGAAATAATTACAGAAATTTAGTAATAAATCTTAGTAATTTTGGAGCACTTACTATGTGCAGTCCCCCAGGTAGGCATTTTGCATCCCTTTTTCTCAGTAAACCTGTGAGGTAGGTATAAGAATCATATTCCAGATGATAAAATATTCCAGAAAGGTAAGTCACATGCCCAAAACACCACAGTTGTCAAATACAAGATCCCAGATGGTGAACTAAATCATCATGACCGTAAAACTTAGTCTTTCTGGTACACAAAGGAAGTTAAGTAGTGGAAGCAGATTTGTACTTATTGTGATATTCATCTTAGGCACCTTCTCGGTGCATTGAGTTGGGTGACCAAATGAGTTATTTTTAGCCATGATATATTTCTGAATGACTTCTAAATATCCATTCTGCCAGCTTACATAACTTTCTCTTTGTGATCTCAATTGGATGTTCAAGTTCCCACTGGTCCATAGGTATAAAGTAGATTTTCTAATTTATGTTAATTCCCTTAGATGCAAGAAGCTTTGGGCACTAAGAAGGTAAAGCTTTTGCCCTAAAGAGTTCAACTTAAGTACTGTTCCAAGTCTAAAGATAAATGTTTATATTTATTCTTTTTATAATTGCCTGTACTATCTTACTCCCATTTATCAATTTGACACAATAAGTCTTGATTAAATTTTATTTTTAGAAATTTTTTAATGCATGTTCAGGGACATTTTCTGTCCATAGTTTCTTAAATATCCCATTAACATTCTTCTTTCACTTGACATGTATCATGGGGCTCATGTAGTTAGGCACTGTCCTGACTCCCAACTTGGGCTTACTACAACCTATTGAAAAGAGGCTCACTCTTTAGTGAGAAGATGCATCTAAGAGAATAACTTAAAACTCTAGAAAGTAAAGAGTTCTAGTTTAACGTAAGATTTAATTTCACAGCTGGTAAATTTTATGAGTACTAATAACGTGAAGCATTTAAAACTTCTTTGATTCAGGAATGATAATTTTTTGTTCTTTTTGTTGTTTTACATCATTTGATTGCAAGTCATTCTGAAAGTATGATTGTGTGTGTATCATTGTGTGTATGGTGTTTTGTTTTCCACAGTAGTGGTGATTGAACCCAGGGCCTCATGCATGCTAGCCAAGTGCTTTTGTGCTGATCTGCATCCCCAGCCCTTTTTATTTTGAGATAAGGTTGTCCAGGCTGGCTTTGAATTTACCGTCCTCTTCCCTTAGCCTCCCAAGTAGCTGGGCTTACAGTTTTGCACCACCATGCTCAGTTTGTGTGTCTTTAGTTAGGCACAAGTATGGAGTGTTAGATTAATTTTCTATGATGTGCTATGTTACTGTACTTCAAAGAGAGCCTCCTTCTGCCACCCTTATCCCTAAGCACCAACATGGCAGTAGACTGTGGCTTAAGGTAACCTCACTTCTTCCCTCATAAGTAGATACTCACAGACATCTTCATTTCAGTTTCTTACACTATATTCATACCCCATTATCCATCTTTACAGATTGCTCTTCCCCTGTCTCTATCCCCTGCAAATAGGAATCTGCCTTTTCTTGGCACTCTGGTCCTCTTTTGACTTTACAATCCCTTGTTAGGATGTTTCATCTTGTTGCTTGCCCTCAGTTACTAGTTTTTTCTCCCCAGACTTTGAATTGCAATCTCATAGACATCTTTTTTCATAGGAGAACAGAAACTAAAGACCTTAAGTTACTTCACTTTTATTTTCCTTTGGGAAAAGCAAGCAGGATAAAATGTAGGCATTAGTTAAATTGAAGAGACTGATTAAAGTCCTTAATTTATAGGCATGTCAGAGAGGATAAATGTATGGAAAGGATCAGAAAGATCTAAGTGAAACTTGGTAGGAGCCAGGCTATCTTTCGGTCAAAAAATGAAAGGAACCCACGGATCCTACAGAAATTCATCTTAGGAGATCCTTACGAGGGCCTTTGATCCAGTTCTTCAAATACAAATACATAAGTACAAACTAAAAAAACAGCCATCCCTTACAGATCATGTTCAGCAAGGTGGTACTGTAAGGTAAAAAAGTAGCTGAGAAATGAAATTCTTTTCTATGGTCTTAGGAAGAAGTTGAGAAAATTCACTGAAACTATCTTGAAACATGCATAAAAAGATATAAAATAGTCATTAGTACAAGAAAGTGAAACATGATAAATAAATGATGAGAACTAGAAAGTCATCCTGGATGCAGTTGTTTAAATTTTTATAGGTCCATTTATAAGAGTCTGCAGAAAAGAGTGGCTTTTACAGAGCAAGTTGCTGTGGGATTCTAGAGAATATTTTGCTGCTGATGAGTTTAAAGATAGTAACCAGAGGAGGAAAGGAGACCACAATATCTGAGAGAAGTTGAGACCAAGACAATAGTTTCTGAGTGAGTTGAGAAATAGTCACAAAGGGGGGACTATTTATTGAAATTCTCAGATTTATGGATCATTCTAAATTCTTCTGGGTAGTAGAAATTATCCTTTTGAAATTAGGGAGAAGAGATACTTTTCTATCTCGCAATGTTAAAAGAAGATACAGATTTTTCAGATAGAGTCTAGAACTGGTTCTATGTAAGTTACTGAAGAATTTGGAAAAGTTATGATACTGAATCAAGTTTTAGTTCATGCTGAGGATATTTTCCAAGAAAAGACGAGACAGACAGACCTGAGTTCTGCAAGGCAAATCTACACCTTTTATTATGATTGTTAATAATCTGTAGGAAGAATGAATTACACGACAGCTTATAAATGTTTAGAAAGAGGAATATCTAGAATATATTAATTATTAATGATTACTGTTGGCTGTACTTAGCCTTCAGTTATAGAAGTTTTACACTGTCTTCATAGTAGTAGTGTGCATTCTAGGAGGTAAAATGAGATACTGTACTCTGAAACATCTTTTTCTGTGGGGAAGGCCAGGAGGAGCTGTATTACCCTACTCCAAAAGGATGCCATTTTTTAAAATTGTTTTTGTGCCTTGAAGTTCCCAACTTGATATACGTTCTGTTTATTTACAGAAACACATAACCTTCTTGTTTTCTAACTGCTGTATGTTGAGCCATAATCTGTCCTATTGTTTGGTGGGTAGAATACTCCTTTGTTTATTTTATATTGTCCAGATGGACAAAGCTGAGCTGGTGTAGTCTGTGTGAGGTCCAGATGACACAGAGTCGGGGAGAAGGCCCCTTTTAAGGATTTGTTAAGGACTTTTGAAAGGTTTTACTCAGCAGGCCCTTCATGTTATCTGATGTCTAATTTCAGATATGTAGAATTTAATCTGCTGTATGATCGAGGAACAAAGTTTGGCCTCTTCACTCCAGGATCCAGGATTGAAAGCATCTTGATGTCTTTGCCTCTAACTGCCAGGTAAGGAAAAATTTCATCATAGTAGTTGTCTGTCTATTCTAATCCCCTCACCCCCACAAAATGTGAATGTTAACACTGGTATGTCTTACCTAAGACTTCTTCAGTTTTGACTTTACTGATCTTATAAGAAAATTGTGGTTGATAATTCAGACAAATTAAATTGGTTTATAAAGGCTGATAGGATGTATGACATAGCTTTGCATGACAGCAGAAGACAATACAGGAGCCAGAGGTGGTGTTGAAGAGGGCCAGATTGACCAACCCTCCCAGTTATTTGCTTGGAAGAAATGAGTGTAAGAATTATGCTAACATCTACCTATGGATCATCTGAGGTTCTACACTTTTGAAGCTCTAGTTTACAGTAGCAGTGTATTTTGGCTCCTGATATTAATATTAGCGCAGGTGTGCTCAAGAATTACTGAAACTATTTCTTAAGCAACAAATATTTTTTAAATGTGTAGTTAGTGCAAGGTGCAAATCAGGTATTGTGGTGACAAAGTAGTACAAGAGTTTCTTTAATCTTAGAATTTTAATCTTCATTTATTTTAAGAGTTATTATACCATTTGTTGCCACTTTTTATAATTTTATATTTTTTCCTTCTCTTTTGGACATGCCTAGATGGGAATATATGCATTCACCCTCGGAGAATTCTAAAGAAGCTGAAATTCTGGAAGTTCTGCGCCATCCCAGGGACTGGGTGCATTGATGCAGGCAGAGAAGTTGTGTGGGGTTTGGAGGACACAGGTGTGTGCCTTGCTCCACTGCTGGTATTGTTGCCATTGTGTGGCAGTTAGTTCTCTTTGCCTTAGTGCTCCAGTCTTGTCCTCTGGCCCCCACCTTCTTGGCAGGTGGTAGGATGTGTGGATGCTTTGAGTGATGTGTTGTGGGATGGCAGGTTGTCAGAGTTGATTAGTATAAAACTGATACTTGTAGAATCATTTTATGTGACTAGTTTACAGAATTTGACATTGAGTTTCCAAGTATTAACTTAGGGGAATACAAATGCTATAATATGTACCTGGAAACTCATCTCATTTTTGTATTTTATTTGTTAAAGTTTTAGTTTCTTCTACAGAAATCTGTCATGGAATATGTTTTGTCTTTATTAATGCAGTGAAATTGAGACTTCTTGGTAATTTTAGCAATTTGAAGGTAAAATTTTTACTTTTTCATTATTAAAGTCTGATATAATCAGTTTTCTTTAGAGGCCTTAATATTGTAAAATATTCATTTTTTTAATGATAGATATTTGGAAACAGTTGAAATTTTCTTATCTCTGCATGTATCACAATTCAGTTATTACTTACAGATTTTAACTCTAATGTGACAGTACTGTTATTTTAAAAAGGAATATCTAAGTTGTAATTTTTAATTTTTTTACTATAATTTGTTAATGTTGGAATTCTCTGTACTTTTGAAAATGAAAGCTTATGTCCCTGGATTCTGATACTTTAGAATTTTCTATTTCAGACATTTCTACATGGAAGTTTTGACTAAGAATAATCCTAAGATGTGAATTTAGGAAATGTTTTTCATTTGGAAAATAAAATGAGATTCTATATAAAATTAGAGATTGTATAACTTCTTTCTTCTTAAGAGAACAACAAAATTCTTAATATATGACTTGTTTATTCATATAGTAATGTGAATATATTATTTTACTTCATGTATGATTTATTGAAGTTTGTAAGAAACCATGTATACATATTTTTAAGCATTATCCTGAAATATATTGGATATATGTGATTATATGTGGCTCTTTTAAGTACTAGAAAAAAATAGATGAATTTTTTCAACTGTCTTATAGCAGATCCACTAATAAATTTTATTATGAAATAAGACAATGTAAGAAATGTTTTGTTGGGATAGTTGATATAGGAAAACTCAAATATTTCTCAAGATCAAATGGTAGTTCTTCATTTCTAGGTGTTTAAGAGAAATATAAGATTTGTACTCAATTTTCATAGTAGTTTTCTTTCTTCTTTTGTTTGTTTTTTGTACCAGGGATTGAACTCTGGGCCTTCAGAATGAGCTATATCTCTAGTCTTTATTTTTTTATTTTGAGACAGGGTCTCAGTAAGTTGTCTAGTGACTTGAATTTGCGATCTTCTTGCCTCAGCCTCTTAAGTACTAGGACTGTAGGCATTCATAGCATTTTCATATATAATAGATAAAAATTAGAAACAACTCAAATAGCTATCAACAGATGAATGAATAAACAATTTGTGATATGTGCATACAATGAAATACTGCTCAGCAATCCAAAGAAATTAACTATTGATAAATGCAGTAGCTCATACAAACATCAAAATCACTATACGAAGGAAAAAGAAGCCAGACATAAGAGTACTTATGATGGCACTAAATAAAAATCTTGAAAAGTGAAAGCTTTAATTTGGAAAGTAGATCAGTGATTGCCAAAATCTGCAGATGGGGAGTTGATTGTGAAAGGCGATAACCGAATATATTGTTGAAGTGATGGAAATGTTCTGTATTTTGATAGTGGTAGGAGTTACTAGGTTCTATACATTTATTAATACTCAACATTGTGAAATTTTATTTTATATGTGAATGATACTTCTAGAAAACTGATACTGTGAACAAATATAGGCATATAGGAATAAATGTTTAACTTTTTAAAAAGAGTCACTTATGTAGGTCTTCTGGTCTATTTAGTTGTGTTTAAGGCTATTATAGGCTGGACAGTAGACCAACATAAAACTTCAAATTTTTGTTTTGTTTTGTCTTTTTTGTTTGTTTTTTGAGACAGGGTCTCGCTTTGTAGCCCAGGCTGGCCTTGAACTTACAGCAATCCTCCTGCCTCCACCACCATGCCCAGTGAAACTTCAAACTTTTTTCTGTGCATATCTGTTTTCTTGTTCTTTGAATTTTTATTAAGGATGAATTTCTATTAAGGATGAGGTTATGTCTGGAAATAATTGTATAACTATCAGAAAACATATTTCTACTATTCTTCAAAGTAAATTTGTCTTTCAAATTCTCCTTGATGTCTGTTCTGAGTATTTTAGACCAGAGTGCACCTACAAATGTCCTGAACACCTAAGTCCTATTGTCTTGCACATACATTGTAATGGTCGTAGCTCTATCTGGGGAGTGAAATGTAAGTGCTCTGGAGCAACTATCTACTTTATATCATTACGCCCAGCTCACCCACTGTAATAGTTTTTTTTTGTTTTGTTTTAACAACATACCTAAGGGATAGGTATTTTACAAAGCAAACAGGTTTATTTACTTTATAGTCTTGGAAGCTAAAAATCCAAGTTTGGATGGTCTTATCTGTGTGGCCTCTGCTGAGGACCTTGGCTTCCTCACAACATGGCAGAGAAGTGGGAAGGGAAATGATCATCTGCAAAAGAGGCCAAGCACATTGGGGGTTCTTGTTATATTGTTACCCACTCTCATTATCTAGGTGATCAGCCTTAATCACTTCCAAGGGTAGTGGTCCCCACTGACCTGATCACCTCACAGTGGGTCCCACCTCTTAAAGGTTCTTCCATCTTAACACTCCCACACTGAGGAACAAGCCTCTATTGCATGAACCTTTGGGAGGCAAACCACAATACATCTAATAAGCTGAGTATTTGCGATAAATCCTTCTGCATGCTAAAGAGTACCAGATCTGAAAGGCAAATAATGTGTTTCTTTGGGACTTATCCTTCCATGTGTGTTTTCTTGTCAAAATTCGCCAAAGCATGAAGGACCTGCAGGTTTTTAACTCAAATGTCTATGTCCAGGCTAGGATAAGTCAGTGGCAAAGTCCACCTCAGGGTGTAGGTCATGGTGCCTACAGGTGCAGGTCACAGGTGCCTCAGATCACATATTCAGAACAAGGCAGAAGCACTATGGTTGTTTTCTAATTATTCTTTGAGGTTGCTTCTTGCACATTTCATTGGTTACAGAGTGTCATTAAGGTCAGTGCTGGATTCAAGGGGAAGAGAATTAGGCCCCAACTGACTATGGAGAAGTGTTAAGAAATTTGTGGTTTTAAAACATGCACCTAGCATTTCACACTCAAAACTATAAAATAGATTGACTCTTCTCTCCCTCATTGCTCTAATCAGTTCCAGTTGTGTCTGCCTTTGAACTATCTCCTGATTTCCTTCTTCCCATTGCCACCACCCTAATTTGGTCACACGGAATCTCTCACCTATGCTTTTCCAATATCTTACCTCTTGTTATTCTGACCTCCATTCCTTCCCTCAAGAATTATTAGCCCGAATTCTATTATCATTATCTTGATGAAAGATTCAAGGCACTCCTACCGAAAAGGTTCTAAACACCTCACATTCCAAGCAACCCACCACTGGTCTCTGACCGCTGTTTGCAGACTTATCTTCTACATTTTTCTCAGTATAAGTCTGTTTTTGTTTTTTATTTAACTTTTCCTGAATTATGTCCCTGAATTATGGCCTATCCTCCTGGAGCTGATCTCTCTGTTGAAATCTCTCATGTTCCTGTCCATCTTTTCATGTTGTGATCAAATCTCCTCCAACAATCCTTTGAAATAGTCTCTTCTATCCTCTCAGCACTTTTCAGTATTGCTTTCACCACAGTCTGTATTCACATAGTAATTCAATGTACACACCACTCTATAAAATATTATAGGTTTTTCCTTATTTATCATACTCCCTTATGAATGACCTGTTAACCTTTGTTTTCCATGGCTATTTTTCAATAGATTATGGACCCAAACTTAGTGTTGCTTGACTGTCTGTGTAACTGTCTTATTTATAATCTGTAAAAGCAGAAGTTCCCAGTATATTTTTCTTAAAAGCCTATTTAGACTTTGTTTTTAAGAATGTGTTTTTCCTGCCACAGGTATTAGTTATGTATTTGAAACCTCACATTTTAAAATTTAATTCTTCCCAAAGAGGCACATGTGTTAAATTCTAATTTCATAATAAATCTTTCATAGCACATTTAAGTTAATGAAGCTTAGTCATTTACAAATGACTAATTCTTTTGTGTTGTTACTTGGAACAAGTTATGTACTGTACAACATAAAACTTCACAGACCTGTTTCTACAGGTGGTTTTATACAATGTACACACATTTGCCAGCAGAGCAAGGTAATTAAACCACATTCCATATTGGCATCAAGGTACCTGGTTCTACTACACAAGTTAAACCCATTCAACCAGTATTTTAAAGTATCTTTCACCTGCTAATCCCCTCCCACATTTCAAAACATGTTTGGATATAAAATTTGGCATAATCTAACCCATGATGGTTCCAATGAGTGGACAGAAGGATGGCCACTTAGGAAAGCAAATGGACTTTGTGGTCATTTAGAATTGTGATGTCATCCCTTCACAGATACATTTACTTAGACCTAGTTGGAGAGCTATCAAACTAAAGTCTACAAAGTTGTACAGTTTGAATGCCTCCGTTATTTAATAGCAAGTAAATAACACATTACAAATTAAAGTCTTCACAGTAATTTATCTGTGCTTAGGTCAGGTGACAGTTCCTTTCATTTTCCAATCCAGTAGGGCCGGAAGTCTTTCAGTATTTGTTCCACCTCAAGTGCTGATATTCTAACCATAACTAAAATATGCACGTTCAAGCCAACATAATTTTTTTTTTTTGAGTACCAGGGATTTAACTCAGGACTTCGCACTTGCCAGGCAGGCATGGCACCACTGAGCTATATCCCTGGCCTTCCAATGTAATTTCTTGTAGTTCATGTTGTAGCTTAACTAGTTCAGTAGATATCCTCAATGAGTATTTTAATTACTATCTATAAGAGCACAAATTAACTTCTGCTGAAAATAGTTTTTATTCTTTAATGTGTACTTGATTTTATAGTATACATCAGTAGTGGCCAACCTATGACATATGTGGCACAGTGGGCTCTTTGTTATCATTGAAAACTAAAAGGTTTGCCATTGTTAAACACACTATTCAACATGAAGGTATACATAAATATAATGTATTTCTAGAAAGCAAAGAACAAGGACCTACTTTTCATATTTACCTTTCTGCCCCCTTGTCCCTACCCACATTAGTAATATGGAGGAGATATGTTATTTTTCTTGTAACCACAAAAGCTGACACCTTAGTCTGTGGAGCCAGGGACAAGACTTCCCTCCTGTGTACTACCAGAATCTATGACTAATAGACCCTTTGGATATGAGAAAATGGTTGCTATTGTGTGTCACTAAAAGTAGGGTAGTTTGTTAAACAGCAGTCTATAGTTGGAACATGTTCCATGCCATTAACAGCAAACTAGGAGAATGCTTTTAATGAGCTAGAAATGTCTGCAAGCCATCTATATTGGTATTTAGAAATGTGAGACTACAGCTTGCTTTGAAGTTCAATCAAAACCATAAACTTACCTATTATTTTTAAAGGTAATAATTGAAAAAACAGAAGACAAGCCACCCAAGGATGTGCATGCAGCCAAATAAAGAAAGAGGACACCAAGTGAAGGGTCAGGGCAGAGAAATGCGCATTGGAAGTCAGGGAAGCAGTACTAGAAGCAACTGAAACAAATGGGATAGGGAAGAAAGAAATCAAAAGGCACAAGTTGGATGTGATTGTAATAAGGGTGAAATTATAGAAGCTAGTTTGAAAATAGATGTTAGCATGGTATATATACTATTTTAATACCTTTGGAAGTAAGTTCTGAGTTCAATTCACATTATAAAAATAATCTTGGTTTGTTAACATTGGTAAGAAGGCCTCGGGTACTAAAATTTAAGTAATAAAATTATTTCTATTGATGTATCAGATAGAATCTCCAATTTTTTAAACCATGCTTAAACATGACAACTTTGAAGGAACCAGTAGGTGGAGCAGGCTTGCTCAAGAAAATCTAGTTTCATGTTTTGGAGGGGTGAAAGAGGGGAGAAAGTAGAGAAGTGAGGAAGAAGGAGAGAGGGAAGAAAGGAGGGAAAAGGAGGAAAGAAATGAATAAAAAAGCAGAAAACGAGGGAACACTTGAGAACTATTTGAAATCTTTGTTTTTGTGAAGTATGCTACTGTTAAAGAGATCATCTAGAGAGTTATTACAATATTCAGTCAAGCATGATGGACTTGCTGCTTATATCTTGTCAGTGGCTCCACTGTTTAATTTCTTACGTTGTTACTAGGATGTTATGAATCTGATAATGTTTACAGTTGCAATGTGTTGAATATCTAAGGCAGAGTTCTTTGAGTTCCTAGTGATTCCTTAAACTGTTTTGCCTGAAATCAGGAGAAAGAAAATGTGTGCATTTTTCTGTGCATTTGATCTTACATGCTATTCAACATAAAGGTAATAAATAATAAATAATGGTAGTTTGGCTCTCAAGGGATATTCTATCCAGAGAGTGCATATGATACTGTAGTAAATAAAGGTAAGAAAGCATGTTTATCTTTCAATAACTTGTATATAATTTAATTATATCCCCAATAAATTAGTACAACAATGCATGCATTTAAACAAAAAACCATATTTTGGGGGTACAAAATCAGCAGCACACAATAAATTCAAAACTTATTTGTCCAAATAGTTTATAGATTTTTACATTTTGGGGGGCCAAAAATGAAAGTGGAGGTTGAAGAAAGAATACAGTATCTTGATAGATCAAAGACAGAAAACATAATAATAAAGCTTGGCTTACCTCTGGTTACAGTTACAGGGAAAGAAATGAAAATATGTTAATTTCTCATTATTAGGGATCAAGTAGTACTAGCTCAAGAAATGAGCTAAAAAATTACATAAGAATATTATTTAAAGGTAGAAATATAAACCAAAGTGAGAGACTTTAGGCTAAACACTTAAAAATGATATAAAACCATGTGCTAAAGCTATAACAAACATACCTATCTGATCCATAAAGATATCCTATTAAAATAAAGTATTTCAAATAGAACTGTAAAGTAAAAGCAAATATGTTATATAAAACAGATACACTTAAGACACAATGCTTCAGAAAGTAAAAACTGACAACAATACCAGACAAGCACAAATTTAAAAAAGAGTTACACCAGCTA